ATGCAGGGGACACGCCCGTCGGTGCCGAAATCCCCCTGTAATTCCCGGCACCGGCCGCACTGGGAGTACTTTCGCTTTCCCATCCCTAGCCGAGACGGTCGGTGGTCTCCACTCTGTCCCCGCCCGGCCCCGCCGAGGGTGCACTGAGCACCCACTGTGTGTATCTGGGGTGGGAATCAGGGTCTCCCCTTGGAGCCAGGGGAAGCCCCGCCAAGCCTGCCCATAGCACCCGCATCCCTACCGGATGCACTTCGCCCAAGGAAGAGCGCCCAGCCCACACCCGCCTCGGAGGCTGGCGACTTGCTCACAAACCGGGGTGCCTGCGCCCCTCGGCTGGAGCCGGAAGTCAGCACTTATTAGGTGCCACCTCCGCAGGGAGCGAGGGAGGGTTCAGCGGGCCCCTTGGGAGGAAGAGGAGTCGGAGCAGGTGTAGGGGCAAGGCTCTGGGCGTGCAGTGGCACCGAATGGGCACCCATTAGTCCCCTGTGGTATGCACCTCTGGGAAGGCAGGATTGAGGTCAGGGACCAGAAACGTGCTTGCCTGGAGTCCTTACCGGAGGCGGTTCCCCTGGGCCAGAGGTTTCACCTCCGCTGGAGAAGAGCAAGAGCTGTGCATGCATTAATTGCCTGCGGTATACAAGTCTGTCCCATCTGTTCTGCAGCCAAACACACTTCAGGCGCAGTAAAGCCTTAGAGTCAAGAGTGCGCTCAGGATGGAGCACTTACTATCGGCATCTCTCTTTCTGCAAGAGAACCAGGCAGAGCTACAACTTGCTTCATACCCCTTCCTCCTGCACAGGCCGGTTACCTGTGCCCACAGGTGCCCCTTGGAAAGCCCCGCTCACCACCTGTCAACGTGAGCCTCTACTACGAGGCCCTGTGCGGTGGCTGCAGGCTCTTCCTGGTCCGAGAGCTGTTCCCCACGTGGCTGATGGTCAATGAGATTCTCAATGTCACTCTGGTGCCCTATGGAAACGCCAAGGTACATGGGCGCCCGGGAAGCTGAGGCCCCTGGCCAGGATTGGGAGACACCTGTGGTGAGCTGGCCGGCACTCACCTCACTGCCTTTCAGGAACAGAATGTCAGCGGCAAGTGGGAGTTTACGTGCCAGCATGGAGAGGAGGAGTGCAAGTGGAACAAGGTGGAGGTGAGCAGCCCCAGAGTCCCATGTGGGGCCCGCGGAGGCCTGGGAGGCTCCAGGCAGTAACGAAGGTAAAATCCAGGCTCAGAGAGGATTGGAACCAGCTCTCTCCCCGGCCGATGTGTCTCCACTCATTGCTTTGTTGACGGGTGCCCATGGTTATTACCAGAGTGGTCTTGGCGTGCTCTGGGCCCTTCTCATGCCTTTGCCTGCCCACCCCTAGGCCTGCCTGTTGGACCAGCTGTCGTGGAACGCAGCCTTCCTAACCATTGTCTGCTTAGAGGAACTGGATGACATGGAGAGCAATCTGAAGCCAGTGAGTGATACTCTTACTTGGCCTGGGTTGGGGGGCCCTGGCCTTCCCTACAGTCAGACCCAGGTTCAAGTCCTGTCCCCAACAGCCACTCTCTGTAGGCCCCAGGGAAATGGTCTTTCCTTTCTAAGCCTCTGTCTGTGAATCAAGGGAAGGAAGATCTTCTGGGGCATGGGTAGGTGAGGGAGTGCTTTCTCTAGGAGGAGCCCCTGAGCGGGCTTCCGTGAACAGGAATGTGCAGGGACACAGATGATGACCCTCCTCTGGGGTATGGGGGCGACAAGACGGGCCCGCCCACCTCCCTGGAAGATTACGAAAAAGAGCTCCCAGAGGAATGACTCATCTGCCCTGATCAATTATTCATTCATCAAATATTCAGGCTAC